AATCGGAATTTTTCCGTAGTTTGTTCGATCAATACCGGGCAAATGCCTGAGCAGTACCTTAACAAATGGCCATGGATCTCGCGCGATCTTTCCTTCCCTTTCTTGCCATATCCTCACCCCTTATTCACACATACACACATTCGCTACAGTATCGCACCTGCTGGGTGACCGGTCGGGAGTTTGTGTTTGTACCGGCTGGAGCACAGCTGAAGAAAGACACCTGGTTAGGAAAACCCCCACTAAACGAAGGTACGTCGGCGCGGAGTCTCTATTCAGCGAGGGAATATCACCGACACCTCCCAAGGAGAACAGCATGCACCACTCTTACGGACCTAATAGCCTTAGCCGTGGATGAGCCTGGAATCACCAATAATTTTATTTATTTGAAGTCCGCGGCCAGAGTCGAGAATGCTCTGAGCTATCCGGGTGACGCCGAATCGCTATGATGCCGTTTCGACCATCTTGACCACCTCTGAGGAAAACCACAAGATAGTCGAAATGTTGGCATCTCAGCCATTGACGTGATGTTACTCAGACGGGCAAGGTTTTTTTTTCTTTAATTAAAGCCAGCAATTGATTCAATGAGAATTGATGGTAATAATACGAATATTTGATTTCATTAGTTGTAAGATAAAATAGTAAAGAGGGAGCAAACACAGTTACCCACCCCTAATACATTATATCATCAAAAGTATCCGGACACGTCCAAAATGGTGTTATGATGTCGTGTTTTTCATGAACGGGGCTTGCACCCCTTGTTGTTTTGTGTGGCACTGTCAGGTCACTGACCTACGTTGTTTTAAATATATTCTTGCTTCCCACTGTTGAAGAGTAATTCAGGGATAGCAATTTTATCTTTCAACACGATCGAGCAACACATCGATTCCTGTCCTCCGTGCCGCACTCCGTGAAGAATGGGTTGCCATTCTCCAAGAAACCTTACAGCACCTGGTTGAAAGTATGCCTGCAGGAGTGGAAGCTGTTATCAAGGCTAAGAGTGGGCCAATATCCTATTGAATTCCGGCATTACCGATGGAGGGCGCCGCGAACGTAAGTCATTTTCATCCACGTGTCTGGATACTTTTGATCACATAGTGTAGTTTAAGCTTCTAGTGGAGAGGCAACCAATCTTCGATATATGCTGCAATGATCAAACAAAACAATTAAAATATTTAATCCTTTGTTATTCGCGCTGGCGTTCTTTTTACGCCTCTGAAACTGTTATCGCCGTAGATGTCAGATAACATCAGCTCATGTTCTAGCATTTGACCTAACCTCGTAGAAGACATTCAGCTGTACCCGCCTCAATACTCAGTTGCCTAAGATTTACTGCGATGGCTAGACGATAGTATTTCCAAAATGTGTATTCAAAGTGTTCTTTGGCGACTATCTACGACTCGCGAGTACCAATGTGAATTTTCGTTTTCTTTTATTTATCACAGGATTTTTTTATTTGTTGATGTAATTAAATGACTTTATTTCGTTTTATATTAGGAACAATACAGAGATGAATAATTTATCGAAAAAACAGCTATGTGAATTCTTACATCGGGAATCGTCAGAAGGCGAAATATGCGATTCTGAAAAATAAGTTGTAGTGGCAGAGTGAAAATGATATGTGTTTTGAGCTTTATTACGCTAGTCATTATTCAAGCAGTGATTTAGGATGTAGAAATGTTTTCATTTGCAATGACAAGATTACAAAGAGAAATAAAACACAGCTTGTCAGCAGAAATTCAAAAGCTGGAAGTCGCAATGATCAAGAATAACCACCAACAAAATGAAGAAATCACTGTCGCATTTGCGAAAAAAGCAAAAAACTTTACTACCACAAATATTACTACCAACTGGTAAACAATTGTAACTAGTACAATTTATACAATTGTAACTGATACAATTTTTCATGCAAAGAAGATATTCTTAAAGTCATCAAATGCAAAAATTGTTTCGAAGACTAATATTCTAAATTTATTATTATTTTATTAAATTTGTAATAAGTATTCATTGAAAATAAAACTAAATACAAATTATATCCCAATATTATTCAGGCGT